AATGACAAATAACAGCTCAGGCTGCAGTGGCTCACAGGAAGTTGAAAGAAAAAAGTCAACACCTTTGTTGAAGCAACTTGCTTAAAGCAATTTAAAGCAGGGTTCTCCTCCCCCCTATTATCTACTGCAGCTGGTCTGCAAAACAGCCTTGGAGTTTGAGCCTTTATTTGCTTTGACTCCAAAACGCAATGGATTCAGGTGCACAGAGATGAGCTGTCTTTCTAAGGGATGAAGAGCCAGCCTGTGACCCCAGAGTTCTAGACCTACCTTGGCACCCACTAGTTGTGTGATCAAGAGTAGGGAATGGGGTCCCTTGTGCCTTAGTTTCTGCACCTTGAAATAGGAGAGGGGGCAGATGAACTTAGATGACCCTTATGTTCTTTCTCTGTGCTAACATGTTATCACTTTAACCCACTTTACTTCTTTTTTGCGGGGAGGTTCTCTATCAGTTTACCTTTCTTGGTGTCTGGCTTGGTTAACTGAAGGTTTTTAGCTTCTCTTCTGGCTCTGCAGGGAAACTAGGCCGAGGCTCAGGTTGCAGTCATCAAGGCCCCAGGCACAAAACTGCCTGGGCTTTTCCTTGGCACTCTGCCAAAGAGAAGCCAGCCTCTTCCTCACCCACCTTTCCACCCGCCCCATCTGCTCTATTTCTCTCTTCTTCTTCCTCCCAGCCACTTCAAAAGCTTCTACCTTTTACTGAAAGTGATCTTAATATAACAAGAGAGAAATGAGATGAGGTCAGTTACTTTCACTGAAGCCTACCGTATTTAAACGTAGAAGGGCATAATCACGTTTGAAAAGAGCTGCTTATTAACTCAAATATTTGTAGATATTTCAATCAATTTCAAAATTGGGTTGACAGCAGGACTTTTCTGGAGTTCTTGGGCATTGACCGTCCCCAGAAGGTCCAGGTCATTTATAACTATCCTCCCTTATTGCTGAAAGACGAGTTCTGCCCAGCTGAGTGCTACAGGTACTGCCTAACAGGCACAACTCATAAGTGCCGGGGTGGGCAGGGGAAGGAATACAAATCTTCCACATAGCCAAAATATGTGTGGGTCTAACTTTTGTGTCTAACATTTTAATAGCTCAATAATTATGCTTTCAAAGATCTCTAGAGAGAACATCTTTCTTCAGCAGACCAAGATTTTTTTACAAGCAAGATTTCACAATGTGTTATCTGCACCCTCAATATGAATTACATATAAAATTGTATTCTCTACATTGACTATATCAGGTTCTTTCACTCTTTTGTTTTCCCTTAGCTTTTTTTAAGGTGCTCCAAGTTCTCAGATTTCAGGTGAGGAACTTCAAGGCCTTTTCAAAGTCTGAGGTTTTCTGAATTTGTAAAAGAGAAACAGCTAAGTTAGATGAAAAAATCATACGTGCAAGTGCAAGGTAAATAAGATATCCAACGATTTACTAAGGCATCAGTGAATATTTGTTTTAGCACAACAGACAGCACACATAAACTGAAATAGCGTGGACAGAAAACAAACAAACAGAAAAACTAAAGAAATCCTGTAGCACCTCAAAAGAGACACAAGTCTGGAAATATGTACATCAAAATATTAACAGTAATTATATCTCTGAGTGGTGGAACTTTTAGTGACTTACTTTCTTTTTGCTTACCTATATACTTTAAACTCTTCTACAAAGGTTAGTTAGCATAATTATTAAAAACTCTAAAAAACATTACAAATTATGCCACATTCACTGGCTGCATCCCTCCTGGCCCCAATTCCTTAATTAAACGAACTTTCACAGGGCAATAACATATCAAGGTGCTCTGATAATGAAGTCCAAGAAAATTTTCCCTATAGTTGAGATTCAGGAAAGGCTGTGCTTCCTTCAAGGCCATTAACCTTTGGGGGAATCAATGAATGGATGAATGAAGTTGCTATGCATGTTTGACTTTCAAATGACAAGAACCATGTTAACTGACCAAGTTTACCTTTCTAGAAACAAATTTGAGACTCAACTACAAAAATACAGGCCTGCACTGACCTATAAGGGAGCAGCTAGACAGAATAGCTATTGAAATATAAATTAATTAAATACAGCATATTTTCATAATCATAGAAAACTCCATTGGATGGCACTTTATTCTTTTTTCCCTTGGACTAACTTAATGTACTTATACTTTCTCTCATCTCAATTCCTGGTCATATTTATCTTCTATTTATTTGTTACTATTCTATGTGATTTTGTTGCAAATGACCTCAATTCCTTTGTGGAACAATTTGGGGCACTGTACTTTTGAAATATCAGTGTGTATATATATCACTGTTCCTGAGAGTTCAACTTTGGTTTCTGACCAAGGCAGATCTAGCAGCTCATAGAATGTAGTTTGCTCATAGCTCAAAGACTCAAGAGAGGCTGGGTGGAGTGGCTCACACCTGTAATCCCAGCACTTTGGGTGGTTGAGGTGGGTGGATTTCTTGAGGTCAGGAGTTTGAGACCAGCCTGGCCAACATGGCAAAACCCCCAAAATTAGCAGGCATGGTGGCACAGACCTATGATCCCAGCTACTAGGGAGGCTGAAGCAGGAGAATCACTTGAAACTGGGAGGCGGATGTTGCAGTGAGTCAAGATTGTGCCAGTGTACTCCAGTCTGGGTGACAAGAGCAAGACTCTGTCTCCGGGAGAAAAAAAAAAAAAAAAAAAAAAAAAAATATATATATATATATATATATACACACACACACACATACATATGTGTATATATATATAGATAGATAGATATATAGATATACACATATATATGTAAATAAATAAATAAATATATAAATTAGCTGGATATGGTGGTGCTTGCCTGTAATCCCAGCTACTCAGGAAGCCGAGGAATGAGAATCACTTGAACCCAGGAGTCAGAGGTTGCAGTGAGCCAAGATGGTGTTGCTGTGCTCCAGTCTGAACCATATAGGAGACTCTGCCAAAACAAAAGGACTCCTTTGGGAGGCCGAGGTGGGCAGATCACAAGGTCAGGAGTTTGAGACCAGACTGACCAACATAGTGAAAAACCATGTATCTACTAAAAAAATACAAAAATTAGCTGGGCATGGTGGTGTGCACCTGTAATCCCAGCTACTTGGGAGGCTGAGGTGGGAGAATTGCTTGAACCAGGGAGGCGGAGGTTGCAGTGAGCCGAGATCACACCACTGCACTCCAGTTTGGGTGACAGAGCAAGACTCTACCTCAAAAAAAAAAAAAAAAAAAAAGACTCAAGAGAACATTGTCAGGAACTAAGCTCCCCTGTCACAAAGGGACTATATTCAGTGTTTTTTTCTTTTAAATAAACAAAAAAGGTATACACTGTCCATTAATGAAAACTTTTACTATTTGATTAAAGCTTAATTTGAAGCTGAGTAATGTCTTTTTCAAATTCCAAAATATATGACTATCAACTTATTTCTAAATCTTACATATTTATGACAAAAAAACAAATGGCCCAACCTATTACTACTGATTCATATATACGATCATGTTATCAGAGTCCTGGATATGCCAAGGAGAATCAGGAATAAAAATGGTGCCACAGCTCCCGTATACTGTGATTCCCTGCCAGCCCACGGCACTTATGGAGTGTCACCTCTACATAGAAGCCCATGCAATTCTGAGTATTTTACCAGATTCTGTAAAAAATGACTGGGAGTACTAAGCAGTGTAGATCAAAAGGTAAATACAATTAGAACAGAGATGAAAATTAATAAATGTGGCCCAGAGTTGCAGATCTTTGACTTTAATCAGATGCTAACTGGGTAGGCAGTGGGTACAGAGAATACAAAAGTAAAGATCACATATGAAGTGTGGGAAAACACACTGAGAATTATTCCCTAAAAGTTCAGGTATAATTAGGGCGCCTTTCGTAATTTTTAGCTCTCTGGCTACACAATCTGCCTTATAATACTTTGTCTAATATTTGACTTAAGTTTATGTTTTTATGGAACGCATAACGTTAAGGGAAGGATGAGCATATTTATCAATACAATCTTTTGGGAAATAGCCATATACCAATACCTTTATTTCCATAATTTAAATAACCTCGTGGAAATGGTACTGTAGGAGCTGCATTAATGATGGAAAAATTTCAACACAGTATTGCTTGCTTTGTAGGCGCTGATTATGACTGCTAACATTTACTGAATCCTTCCCATGGTTCGCTAAGTCATTTATTCTTCACGGCCATTTAACCAAGTAAGCATTATGATTATCCCCACTTTTACAAGTGAGAAAATTGAGGCACCAAGATTAGATCGCTCAGCGGTATAATAGGATGGAAGACTCCTATCATATAACGAGCGTTAAGTGAAAAAAATTAGTATCCAGAGCTGTTAACTCTGATGCTGCAAATCCTTTTTATATTTTAAGTAGTTTACAAATACCCTAACTGTGAGTCCTATTTCTGAGCACTTCATATGTAGAGTGCACTTTACAGAACACTGTCATGTAATCCTCACACCGTAAATGAAGTAAGTGATAGTTTCCAGTTTCCAAAGACGAAGGCGGAGCCAGTAGAGGCCAAGTGCCTGCGCGGCGCCACAGGGTTCGTCCCCGCGGAGCGGACCTCAGGGCATCCCGGGCAGGTCCCGGCCGAGCTCGCGGCCCAGCGGTGGCGACGCCCGGGCCCAGCCGCTCGCGCTCCCGGAGCCGCCGGGCTACGCGGCACGCGGACGCTGAGCCTGCCCGCCTGGGTCTACATAAAAACCGCAGCCACAGGCAGTCTTAATAGAAACGGAGACTTAATTTTTGAGGCTGTCTTTTGTGTATCTGAGAAAGCCCCTCGGCCGGCTCCGGGCCGCGGGGCCTCTGACCGCGTCCTCGCGCCGGGCCCGGGCGGGGCGGGGCAGGCGGCGCCCAGGCTGCGTCCCGGCACTGGCTGCCGCGGGCCCGGGCCTCCCGCGGGCCTGGGGCTTCGAGCTCAGGCCGAGCGCTCTATGGAAGCCGCGCGCGACCCCCGCTCCCCCGCGTGCGACCCCCGTTCCTCGCGCGCGCCTCACCTGACCCGTGCACCGCTCTCCGTGCAGCCTCCGGGCGCCGCCGGCTTTGCGGACCGGGGCGGGATCCCAGCTCCGATTGGCTGCCCGGCTGGGTGGCGGGGACCGGGAGGGGACGGGAGGTGGAGGGGAAGAGAGAGGACGGGAAGGGGAGGGAGGGGCTCGGCCTCGCGCGGTCGCGCGTGAGATGCCGGCCTCTGCGCCCTGGGCCTGGCGCCTGGGGCCGTGAGAACTGTCCGTGCGCCTGCCCTGTTCTCTGCACCCAGCTGGGTGGCAAGGGTGGGTGGTAGGTGCTCGCCAATCGGAGGGCGTAAGGAAGTGGCCGAGCCCCTTCACGGTGTGCCTGGCCCCGGCGTGAGGGTATCGCATCCCTCTTATCTGCCCCCCACTCACCACCTAGAACCCACTGGGTCCCTTTGGTATTGGTGGACCCGGCCCGACTGAACGGGCGCCGAGGCTTACTTGAGTTCTCCGTGTAATTGTGAGGAGCGGAGTGAATATTCCAGGAGGCCGGTGTCCTGCTCTTGGGTAGCTAGGAAGTGAACGGTGTCCTAGGGAACTGCCTGGGCTCTTATCCACCTGGGAATGGGCTTTTTGGGGATCCTGACGTGGTAAAAGCCAGGGAGCTTCTAGCCTAGCAGGGCTGGGGGAGAAACTAGGGAGAGGGGTGGATTAGGCTGAAGAACAGAGATCTCTTTGATCTTTTATTAAAAGCAGCATTCTGACTGGTAAGGTTGACCGGCATTTTGCCCTCCAAAAAAGTTCTTGTGCTTTATTCCATGACCTGACAAGCCTGTTTAAGTGAGGTTTTGTTGGGTGCAGAGTGAGAAGGCTTGGCTTTGAATTTATCTCCGGGCGGGGCCTGTCTCCTGAACTCCATATTTCTCTATCCAGCTGCCTAGTTAATACCCCCTCTTGGATCTCTAAAATAAATTTCAATCTCAACACATCCAAATCTGTGCCCTTGATGTCTTCCCCATATGGCAACTCCATCTTCCAGGTGTTAAGACCAGAAACCTTGCGGTTACTCGGCACTCAGCTTTCTTTCACATTTCACCTCCAGGGCCCAAAAATTCTGTTGGTTGGACCTCCCTAGCATACTCAGAGCCTGACCACTTCTTACCTCTACCTCCATCATCTCCCACCTTGGTCATGATAGTGGTCTTTTCCCTGATCTCCCTGCAGTCTGTCCCCATACAGCAGCCAGAGTGACCCTAAAGAAAGCCAAATCAAATTCCTCTTCTGCTGGAAACCTTCCCAGTGGTTTCCCAAACTCAGAGTAAAAGCCAAAGCCCTGTGTGATCGCTCCTCTGTTACCTCTGCAGCCTCATCTGCTACTGCCTCCCCACTGCCTCACTCTGCTCCAGTCACTCTGGCCTCCGTGCTATTTCTTTTTTCTTTGGAGATGGAGTCTCGCTCTACCACCCATGATGGAGTGCAGAGGCATGACCTCGGCTCACTGCAACCTCTGCCTCCTGGGTTCAAGTGATTCTCCTGCCTCAGCCTCCAGAGTAGCTGGGATTACAGGCATGCACCACCACGCCCAGCTAATTTTCTCGTAGAGACGGGGTTTTTAGTATTTTTAGTAGCGACGGGGTTTCACCATGTTGGCTAGACTGCTCTCAAACTCCTGACGCCAGGTGATCCGCCCATCTTGGCCTCCCAAAGTGCTGGGATTACAGGTGTGAGCCACCGCACCAGTCCCCTCCATGCTATTTCTTGCGTAAGGCAGACAAGGCTTTGCTGCAGGGTCTTTGCATGGGCTTGCCTCTGTTTGGAATGCATGACTACTTCTCATGCTTACTGATCGTTGCTCAAATGCTGCCTCATTGAGAACTACCCTGACCACTCCATTCAAAATTGCCACCTGCCCTGCTCCTGACTTATTTATTTAGCTCCTGACTGAATTTATTCATTTATTTAGCTTATTGTTTATTATCTTACTCTTCTATCCACCCCTCCTTGCTGCTGCCCCTTGGCCCATGATATGTCCTTTCGCAGAAAAATAACTGCCACTAGAGAGGTACCATATTTTCACTGGCAAGGCCTAGGACATAAGCCAAACTCTGGGGTCTGAATGTGTAGTCACTTGAAATAAACCACAAGAGGAAAGGGTGATTCCCCAAAAGGACATGCTGACTACTGCTGCTAGGAGAAGGGATGCTGGCTAGGCAAAACCACAGATGTTCACTTGCTGAGTCAGACCAGTACACCCAGAGGAGCTTTGGGAAAGTCTGTGAGAGGGGCCCTCTGTGCCCTTGGGAGCAGAGTTTAAGACCTCTAACTCCCTCACTTTTTCGTAATGATGTGTTATGAATTTATTTATCTTATCCTTCTGAAGTCTGGTTTTGTATTCAGTTTCTACTTTTTGAGTCAGAGCTTCCCGTTCTACAAAGTGGCAGCCCTCTTCAACCTGAAGAACTCTGTGGGAGGTTGGGGGGCAGTAAGACTGCTGTAGGCCACAGGTGACAGAAACCCTACCCAAACAGATTAACAGTCAGGACGTGTATTAAGGATCCAGCTCCATTCTGTTGTAATTCTCTCAGCTCTTTTTCCCCATGTGTAACAAGATATGAAAGTATAGATTTTGATTTGGACAACAAGATACACGAATGTGGAATTCTAGGAATAGATCTCCAAGGATATAAGAAGGAATCAGGTGAGAACCACCTGTAATTCCAGCACTTTGGGAAGCCTAGGCGGGCAGGTTGCTTGAGGCCAGCCTAGGCAACATATCAAGACCCTATCTCTACTAAAAATACAAAAAATAGCCAGGTATGGTGGCATGTGCCTGTAATCCCAGCTAATCTGGGAGGGAGGCTGAGGCATGAGAATCACTTGAACCCGGGAGACAGAGGTTGCAGTGAGCTGAGATCGCACCATTCAATTCCAGCCTGGGCGACAAGAGCAAGACTCTGTCTCAAAAAAGAGTAAAGAAAAGAAAAAAAGAAATCTCTGATAGACCTTTTGCTGTGCTTTGAGTCTGAGTTTACCTCCTTCCCACTGAGGGAAGCTTCAGGCAGCCCATTTCCTTCACTTCATGCCTGCAGGCTTCCAGTCATTTGGGGAGCTTGTCAGGGATGTTGGTGCACATGGAGACTCTCTGGCCTGTCATTTACCTCCCACCTGAAAAAGGCAGGCAGTGTGGCTGTCAGCCCACACATGCAGAGGGGTCCCAGGATGCATTTGTCTTTCCCATGGATAAGATATGGATCGTGCAGGAGACAGTTCCCTTGGATCTGGTCCAGTAAGGCTGCTTGGACGGGCAGGAAGCTGTCGGTGAATGCCAGGTATATAGAGGTGAGGAAGAAGTCACAGTATATCTGCCCAGGGAGAATTGCTGGGGAGAGGTCCAGCATGGTCATCTCCAAGGAGTTTATGAATGCTACATTTCAAAAAATAACATAATGTATTGTCATAGTCCATTCAGGCTACTATAACAAAAGACCTTGGACTGGGTAATTTGTAAACAGCAGAAATTTATGGCTCTTAGTTCTAGGGGCTGGGAAGTCTAAAATCAGGGTGCCAGGAGGTTCAGTGTCTGGCGAGGGCTCACTGCATCCTACATGGTGCCAGGGGCAAGGCAGCTCTCCTCAACCTTTTTTTTTTTTTTTTTTTTTTTCTGAGACGGGGTCTCACTCTTTGACCCAGGCTGGAGTGCAATGGCTCATCAAAGCTCACTGCAGCCTCTGGCTCCTGGTGGAGCCTACTGAGTAGCTGGGATTATAGGTGTGTACCACCATGCCCAGCTAATTTTGAAGTTTTTTTGTAGAGATGAGGCCTCACTATATTGCCTGCACTAGTCTTGAACTGGTACACTCAAGAGATCCTCTGCTTTGGCCTCCCAAAGTGCTGAGATTACAGGTGTGAACCACCACACCCAACTAAGATGTTACAGTTTTGAAAGCATCTCAGGCAGAAGGAGAGTGCAGTATCCAGCATGCATTACTCTATTTATGAAACAAACCCTCTGAGATGCCACCAGGGAAGGGGATCACTGAGTAAGTTTCTGCAAGTACAGGTAGAAATAACTATCTAGAAAAAAAAAGGTGAATACGTGTAAATGTGAACTTATTTATAGATGCAGGTGACAGAGGTTTGAAAACATCAGAAAAATATGCATCTTCTAAAATTTTGAATGTGGGGAACACACAGTGGGGGAAGCATTCCCATATTTTCCATTATAGCAGGAAAAAAACCCCCATATACTCTGACAGGGATGCATCTGGATTCCCTTTAAGATTTGAAGGAATGGCCAGGGGCAGATTGGCTCACGCCTGTAATCCCAGTACTTTGGGAGATTGAGGTGGGGGATCAGCTGAGGTCAGGAGTTCAAGACCAGTCTGACCAACAGGGAGAGACCCCATCTCTATTAAAAATACAAACTTATCTGGCCATGGTGGCACATGCCTGTAATCCCAGCTACTCGGGAGGCTGAGACAGCAGAATTGCTTGAACCTGGGAGGTGGAGGTGGAGGTTAGTTGAGATCGTACCATTGCACTACAGCCTGGGCAACAAGAGCAAAACTCTGTCTCAAAAAAAAAAAAAAAAAAAAAAAAAAAAGGTTTCCTTCCTCAGAAGAGACTTCCCAGGAAAACCTGCCTCATTTTTGAAAAAGGAAGCAGTGATTTAAAATGTTATTTAAAATGTTTACTAGAGGCCGGGCGCGGTGGCTCAAGCCTGTAATCCCAGCACTTTGGGAGGCCGAGGCGGGTGGATCACAAGGTCGAGAGATCGAGACCATCCTGGTCAACATGGTGAAACCCTGTCTCTACTAAAAATACAAAAAATTAGCTGGGCATGGTGGCTCGTGCCTGTAATCCCAGCTACTCAGGAGGCTGAGGCAGGAGAATTGCCTGAACCCAGGAGGCGAAGGTTGCGGTGAGCCGAGATTGCGCCATTGCACTCCAGCCTGGGTAACAAGAGCGAAACTCCGTCTCAAAAAAAAAAAAAAAAAAATGTTTACTAGAAAAATTATTCAACTCTGTTTTATCATTTACCTCTCCGCCCCTATTGGCTTCCTCTGTAATGTGCAGTGTGTTTTCTTTATTGACTCCTTTTATTGACCAGTATTTTATTTTTCTTCTGAAAAATGTGCTAACCCATGCCAATTACACACAGCTCTAGGATAGCACACCCACTTTTTTTCCCACTACTGGGCAATAGACTTATCAAGAATCAGGGTAGTGAATGGACTACCCTGAGTGGAATTGTGT